AACATTCTGTGATTCTGTGAAAATATTTTCTGCCTTATGCTACAAAATGAAATGCTGTAGTATAAGCAAAATGCACCGTTTCAAAATGTGTAAATAACAAAACCCTAGTTAAAAGCATGAGATCCTCTTCCGTTATGCAATATGCAGCTCAGTTTTTATATAATTAACAGAATAACTAGCATATGGTGGAGCGCAATAATTACACTTTTAAACATGCATGGTTGAATAGAAAACCTCATTAATAAAACCGCTTTTTAAAAAATACTAAACTATTTTGCCATACCTCTTGGAAAGTTCATAACAGATGTCAGTGCAGTGATTAATTCAGAAATACAGTGCTGTAGCTAAGACTGTCAAATATGTTTAGCAGTAATTACAGTGGTTTGAAGGTTGATTTTTTTCTTTGTTTTTTGTTTTTTGTTTTTTTTTCCAGCTCTGAACATAAATCTGAACTCTCCTTCTTGACTGCAGTCTCCCTACTTATGATCTTCTTTCTGGTTCAAAGAAGATGCTCCCTGGTTTCAAAAATTGCTATGGCACTCGGGCTCCTGGGAGTCTACAGTTACCGTGCAGCTATTGGAAATGTCATATTTCCATGGCAACATGAGAGCAAAGATATTTCAAAGTAAGTTAATCAACAGATATGTAAATCTATTTCTAGAGAGGTGTTAACACTTCGGATATCAGGGAATGAGGTGTGAGGGGACGTTATGTCTAGGCTGGAATCACATTCTTATGAATAGAACTCCTTTTTGTAGGTGGCCAGCACTCAGTTTTTGTGTTGTCTGCATAATTTTGAGCCTCATAAAGTATCTTTCAACTGTGACAGATCAGAAACCAGTCAGATAAGAATGAATATGAGGAAAATCTAATACTCATACCCTGTATTCTTGCTATAGAGACTTCAATGCACTATCTCCTCTTGTTTTAAATGGAGTTGCCACATTTAACAGAGTGCATGCCAAGCTCATTTAGCTACTGCCTAGTTTTAAAAACTGCTTAGGTGTTAATTCAGAGAGTTGCTTTTCTGTATCATTCTTTTGCAGGTGAGTGTTCTATAATGTATGACCTTTCAAGATGTAACCAAATCCTCCTTGAGGTCTAGGCTACGCTGCACAATGCATGCTAAGGATTTTTATGTAGATGTTAAGTTTCTTACAGGACTAGTCTGTAACTGTAAGAAAGCTATTAGCTCTTTCACCAGTAGCTACTTCTGGAATGTAGCTAAGTGGCTTTACTTTTCTTGTGATACTTTTTACTGTTGGATTGTGCCTAGCTCTGCAACCTCAAGTTTTTATAAATGTCAGAGAGCTGTGGAAAACTTACAGAGTCAGTTGCGATATTTGAGGAGGAGGAAGGGATCATGGAGGGGAAGTTGTAAAACAGTTGTCTTCTGGATGTAATAAACTTTCTCTCATACTCATTTTGAATTTGATTTGGATACAAATGGTTTCTTTTGGAACTTTTTTATTCAGGGGCCAGAAATTCACAGAATGTGCAGAGATAGAAAAAATGCTGCAGGGGATCTTAGGACATATAGATCAGATTTGCTAAAGAGGCATGTTTTAGAACAAGTATTTTTATGTATGTATATGTAGATATATTTACATACATTCCATCTTTCCAAATACTGCAAATAACTCTGTGTCTATACTAGTGTTAAGTTAACATTGTGTGCTAGTTCTGTTGGATGCGAAAGTAATGGTAATCTTTACTTAGTCTTCTTCAGGATCTGGCTCTGTGTTTGAAATGTACCTGATCTCTGAGTGTGACCTCTAGTTTTGCTTGGTGTTTGAGTAAAATCCTTGGGGAAGAATACTGTCCTTGTAATAAGAGGAAAAGTACTGCAGTGTGGGACAGAACATAAAATACAGCAATTGAGCTGCAAATAAAATGCGATTAGAGAAATAAGTGGAGTAATTAAATACTAAAGGCAAAGCATTTACTGGGAACTTGTTTATTCTATAGTCAGCATATTGTTCACAATTACAACAAGAAAGATACAGGCTTTTTGTGTTATTTCACCTTAAATTAATAGTGAACATGGTGATTTGTCTAAATTTGCCTAAATTATGTCAGACATTTGTATATATCTCTGATTATGTACTGTTTTAAAAGTTACTGTCATGTTTCAAAGCTTTATACCCTTAAGATCCTCTGTGTAGACTGGTGAAAACTGGTAGGCTTAGCAAATGCAGGTTCTGACCTTTGTGCACTGTACCAGGGGCAGGTCTCTTTACTGATCTCAGTAAGAAAGGACCAGCAACAAATGTGTAACAAAAGGTCTATTTTAGTAAAACAGAGTAAAAAGAGGAATATAGGTAGTGAGTACCTTCAGATGCTGGGATCCCTTCTATTGTGCAGCATCAGACAAAGCCCAGATTAATCTTCCCATGGCACACTGTGGAATATGGGTCCCATCTGTGGAGAGGTTCTGCCTCCCTCCTATACAATGGTGCCTCGTCAAAAAAGATAGTGGATACATATTAGTAGATTTCAGATGTTAACTAGTATGTTGGCATAGTGATCCTGGTTTCTCTTTATTAGATGGCTGATGGGATAAATGGTAAAAGGCTATTAAACAGAACCAGGACTTTCTTTTAAGTGTGACTAGAGGTATCTTTGGTGTATTCCTGACATGGAATAGCTCTAGATCCAGGTGCAAGGTAGAGGTAGGCAGTGACAACATTTTTCATGTGTAATGCTTTGTTCTGTAAGATGTAGAATCGTCACTCTGAAGTGTCCCTTCTCTGTACACTTTACTGAAGATAAGTGTTTTCTCTGACTGTGCCAACTGCTGGAAGGTAGATGAGGGAGAAGAGGCAATTGAAGTGTGTCATGTCTTCTATGGCTTACACTAACATAACCTCTAAATTAAAAAATGCAAGGAAGTAATATGGACTTCCATTTTCCTCTGACTTCTTTTTAAAAATGAAAGTTTGTGCAATGAAAAAGATGAGTATATACCATACTGTCACAAACAAAATAATAGTAGTGCATTTGCAGAGAATTTTTTTTTTGTTTGAATTTCCATCAACTGGTTAATTTCACTTTTCACTTAACTTGTTTAATAGTGACAAATACCCAAAGCTATTTCCTAAAGTTTTACTTCTGAGTCACATTAATATATTCTGATATTTTAAGGTAATAAGTACATTGGAATTACCAGAGATACTGAAATAGGACACTGAATTTCTGCATTAGCCAGAAACACAAGAACTCTCTAAACTTTACTGGCTTTTTTGTTTGGTTGGTTGTTTTTTTTGGTGTGTTTTGTTTTTTTTTTTCCTGTAAAGGAAAAAAGCTAATGGACCTTACAGGGGATTTACAAAGGCTTGATATGAAAAGGAATAAAATAGTAAAGACCCTTTGCATAAACCATTAGGTAAGAGTTTGACCCTTTGAAAGCTAAACCATAGAACACAGCACTGTATTCACATCACTATCATGTGGTGATTTAGACTTTTTTCTTGTTTCTGTGGGTGCAAAAAGAAGACTGAACATGTAAATACTGTTGCTTATTATTTCTCCTCCGGCTTTTTGTTTCTCTTTCCTGTATGTGGGGAAAAAAATACTGAATTCAATCTCATTTGTTAGTAATTGTTTGAGAAGGAATGTGTCCTTCCAAAGATTGAAAAAATGTATACATTTAAAAGGATAAATTTACTTCAGAAATTTTGACTAGTGGTGTTTTCTGTGGTCAGCTAGTTATACTATTTACACCAAGTGTAACTAGGCTTTTACTATTTTTAGTGTCATAATCTAATCCTGAATATATTATTAAGTCCAGATTACTCAAGGACTCTCTTCTGAGTGAATTATATTAACTTTGTAGGAGGCCATGTTCATTCCCCACTCATGTGTAAAGTGACTAGTAATCCCTAAAGATTCCATTATGGATAAAGTGTGTAGATAGTGTGTATTTTTATCTTTTGCAAGACAAAAAAATAAATTTATAACCACAAAAATGTTAATACGCTCATTTGGGTTATTATATCTTAACTCACACTAATGTGATATGAGGCTTTTTTTGCCCAGTAAACATAGGAATATCAGTGCTTTCGGATGGATATCTGCTTTCACTTTCTTGGTTCCTTGGGACTTGCACTTCTAGAAAGCAGTTCACAGTTTTATTTAGGATTGCTGGTCCTTGTCAGATTTTTGGATGAGATGCTATGCTTTCTTCAAAAGCTGACTTTCATTGGAAATAAAGAGGCCAATGAATTTATAGGTGACGTGGGATTTTGTAATGGGATTGCTTAGGGATTTGAAAAATCTCTACAGTTACAAGGAAAAAATGTGCTGGTATAAACCAGCATATCTGTATATCTGTGCAGCTGTGTGAGGTGAGAAAGTATCAGATCAGGTAGTGAGGTGGACTGTGAAATGGCTGATGGGAAGAAGCCAGAGAGTTGTGGTCAGTGGGGCAGAGTCTAGTTGGAGACTGGTACCTAGTGGGGTCCCTCAAGGGTTGGTACTGGGACCAGTATTATTCAATATATTCATCAGTGACCTGGATGAGGGAACAGAGTGCACTGTCAGGAAGTTTGCTGATGACACAAAGCTGGGAGGAGTGTCTGACACACCAGAAGGCTGTGCTGCCATCCAGTGAGACTTGGACAGGCTGGAGAAATGGGCAGAGAAAAACTTACTGAAATATAATAAGGGCAAGTGTAGGGTGTTGCATCTGGGCAGGAACAATCCCAGGTTCCAGTATAGGCTGGGGACAGACCTGTTGGAGAGCAGTGAAGGGGAAAGGGATCTGGGAGTCCTGGTGGACAGCAGGATGACCATGAGCCAGCACTGTGCCCTTGTGGCCAGGAAGGCCAATGGCATCCTGGGGTGCATGAGAAGGGGTGTGGTTAGTAGGTCGAGAGAGGTTCTCCTTCCCCTCTACTCTGCCCTGGTGAGGCCACATCTGGAATATTGTGTCCAGTTCTGGGCCCCACAGCTCAAGAAGAACAGGGAACTGCTTGAGAGAGTCCAGCGCAGAGCCACCAAGATGATTAAGGGAGTGGAGCATCTCCCTTCTGAGGAAAGGCTGGACCTTATATAAAATAAAAGACCCAGGGAGCTGGGTCTCTTTATCTTGGAGAAGAGGAGACTGAGGGGAGACCTCATTAATGTTTATAAATATGTTAAGGGTGAATGTCATGAGGATGGAGCCAGGCTCTTCTCAGTGATACCCAATGGTAGGACAAGGGGCAGTGGGTGTAAGCTGGAACACAGGAGGTTTCGCTTAAACTTGAGAAGAAACTTCTTTACAGTGAAGGTGACAGAGCCCTGGAACAGGCTGCCCAGGGAGGCTGTGGAGTCTCCTTCTCTGGAGGCATTCAAAACCTGCCTGGACGCCTTTCTGTGTGATCTCATGTAGGTGTTCCTGCTCCGGCAGGGGGTTTGGACTAGATGATCTTTTGAGGTCCTTTCTGATTCCGAACATTCTGTGATTCTATGTGATCAGAAGTATGCAGAAATTTCAGACTGAAATAAGGATCTTCAGATAAAGATACTGTCAATGTCTTTTTGATTGGCTAAAAAGAAATGTAACTTTGTGGGAATGAGTTGTGAAAAATCACTGAGGAGCTTGAAGAGAATAGTAATTTCTACGTCAATTTAATTCCTAAAATAAAGTTTCCTTATCACTCTAAGATGTATTTTTTTGAAAATTCATTATGCTATAGAAGTTAAATATTTTTATGACTATATTTATGGATATAGACCTTGAATAGTAATAAATTTGTTTTTGTTACATTAATTGTCATATAACTTCATTTTTATGTTTTAGGTTACTTTAGTTTCTAGCATGAGCTGTTTTCTTTGCTAAAGTCGATTTGGAGGTGTTATAATTTGTGAACCATTTTTAGAGTTTTTGTATTTGAGAAAGGTCTCTCATGAAATTGGACAGTACTTGCCTTAGAATGTAACATATTTGACAGAACTGCATTGGTCTTGCACCTCTCCTGAAAGACTTTTTGAACTGTGATGTTAGTAAGTAGCTCATCTTTCTGTTTTATTAATTAATTAATTATTATTACAATTTTATTTTTTTTTTTTTTCTCTCTTTAGGGGGATAACTGAAGCTCGTTTTGTTTATGTCTTTGTTCTTGGCATAGTCTTCACTGGCACTAAAGATTTACTAAAGTCACAGGTTATTTCTGCAGACTCCAGTGTGAAGAGTACAGGATTATGGGAAGTGTATAGTGGATTGGTTCTACTAGCAGCCCTTCTGTTTAGACCTCACAATTTACCTGTCTTGGTGTTTTGCCTGCTGATTCAGACTATAATGACAAAATATATCTGGAGACCTTTGAAATTTGATGCAGCACAGGTTACTATCATGCACTACTGGTTTGGCCAAGCTTTCTTCTATTTTCAGGTAAGCGGAATACTCTCCCTGCTACAGAGGTGGGGAGAAGGAATAGTTTTTGAAATAAATATTGGCCATTGTGAGTAAAATGCCAATTAAATCTCAGAGAGGAACCTGAGTTTACTGAATTCTCAGAAGGGTTTAGTTTCTAACTGTATTATTTATGTTTTATTTTCAGAATCAGAGAAAGATGCATACCTTGAGAACTTATCCTCAATATAGATTTCCAAAAGCGTTAAAAACATTGGATACCTATACCAGGAGTGATTTTGGTCTGTTAGTGAGCCTCTTAAGTACTGTTCTGATGATAACAAATTTAAAAATTTCAGCTGAGTTGATTAATACCAGTAAAAGACAGAGAGCTTTTTGTCCCTGACTCTTGAGGCTTACAAAAACTTTGGTAACATCACAATGGATCTACATGCAGTTTAAGACTGAGGGAAGTTCTGTGACAAGTTAACGTCTCTTATGAGAATCAAAACTAGTTGCTATTCTTACTATATCATATAGTGTCTTCTTTCCTGAGGAGCCTTACTAATTTCAGTAGCATGGTTCTCTGCATTTCAAACAAGGCTGTAATTCCACAAAAACTTTCCTTAGCATTGAAGCTGAAGAAGTTCTTTGTACTTCCAAACTTCCAATAAAGTTGGAAACTTAGTGTAGCAGACTGTCTTAAGAGGGCATTTGTTAAGTTAGGGAATTGGATTATTTCTGGTTTAGGAGGAGAGACTTTCTGATTTGTTGCAAAATTTCAAGGTGAGATCTGTGTTGGCTTTACTTTTGAGGCATGGCTGAGGATGTTAAAAATGTGGTCAAGCTTAGGGTATTTCTGCTGTGTTTCTGACCCTGTTAGTACTGACTAATTGGCTTGACTTTGCTCTGAGAGTATATGTCAGGATAGGGAATTGCTGATGGTGACAAGGTTGTCATGATTCATCCCTTCCTACCCAATTTTCCTGCTCAGAGGATGTAATGTTTCTTGGTTGGAAGGCTTTTGTAAGTCTTGAATGTTACTGTTCAGTCAGTCAGCTCTGACTATGACCTTCTGAGAGCAGCTCTTAGTGGGGTTAGCGAGAGGATGAAGGCAGGGCCCCCTAAGTACTGAGATACAAATCAAAAGCAACTGCCAGAAATTTAAAGGTGGATAAACTGGCAAGAATATCCTCGTTACAGAAAAGGGACTAATAAAGAATGGTTTGAATGTTTTAATAAAGCACCCATTTTCAGTGATCATGAATTCTTGGTACAGTTGGCTGAAAACTTCATAGAACCACCAAATCACAAAAGACTTGAGGCTGAAAGGCACCTCTGGAGATCATTCAGTCCAACCTCCCCCATCCAAAGGCAGGTCAACCAGATCAGACTGGTCTGGAACATGTTCAGTCCAATTTTAAATACTTGCAAGGATGAAGACTCTGCAACCTCTCTGGGCAGTCAGTCCTAGTGGTTGACCACCCTGGCCAGTAGAAAAGCTTTTTCTGATGTTTACACAGAACTTCTTGTATTTCAGTTTCTGTGCATTGCTTTTCATCCTTTTGCTAGTCACTACTGACTGACTGAGAAGGTCAGAGTCTGGCTATGTCTCCTTAACATCAGGTATTTATACACATTGTTATGATCCCTACTGAGCTTTCTCCTCTTGAGAGTAAACAGACCCAGCTCTTTCAGATAGACGTTTGTATGACACATGCTTGATTTCCATCATCATCTTTGTGGCACTTAAGTGGACTTTCTCCAGTACCTCCATATATTCCTGTACTGAAGAGCCCAGAACTGGACCCAGGAGCCCACATGTGATCTCACCA